AAAACCCTATGGAGTATAGTTCTACTCTGACACACATCGTGTCTCCATGAATCAGAATCAACTGAACTACAACAAGTTTTTTATGATGCTTATATAGCCCTTTGCCCTCCTGTTGCCTTACAAAATTAATAAGACCTTTCTTCAGCCCTCTGAGTTGAAAAGATGGCATGAATAATGATTTGTCATTATTAATATGGGGCATATAAGTCAGATTTTTTTTTTTTTTTCAATAGTTGTCCTGTTAAAGGTTTTCAACTCTGGCAGCTCAAAAGGGAGTGTCTGGACCTTCAATATAAAATTAAGAGTTGGCATGTTTTCCTTGTGCATCAGTAGTATTTGAAGAAAAATCAATTTTTATTAAAAATTTTCAAATAAAATGTATTTCTATATTACAGAATAGAATGCAAATTTCACCTGAACTTTTAAGATAAAATAGGAAACTTAAAAGAAATTTTGTGTCTGAGTTGGCCTCTGTGGACTACACCTGCAGATCCCCAGGGAGTGAATACATATTCATCATCTTCTGCCTGTTAGGAGGACTTTGGTGAAAAGTCTGGGTTGTATTCAAAGATAATCCCTTTCTAATCCCCTTCCTTCAGCTCACATTTTAATAAGATATTCCTAAGCAACTGTAAGGAGTAAAGGCCTGGCAATCTACTTCTGAAAATCAGTCAGTGGAAACCCTATGGATCACAACGGTCTGATCCTTAACTTATCATGGGGATGTCTCAGGACGGGCAGTGTTTCATTCCCCATTCATTCCGTTTTGCACGGGGTCACCAAGAGTTGGAGGCAGATTCCATGGCAGCTAACAACAACAACAAGGAACTATAAACTTAAAGGGAAATGCTTTCAGGAACTTCCTGAAATGATAAGCTTCCTGGCCGACTTAGGAGGACACACTTCTCTTGGTCTGAGAAGATGCTAAGTGGAGCTCTTATGGATTGAATTGTGTCCCCCCAAAGTATGTATTGTAATTAGCTTGGCTTCTAACCAAAAGCTTGGCAGTTCAAATCCACCAGCCACTCGTTGGAAACCCTATGGGGTAGTTCTACTCTGTCTTACAGGGTCTCTATGAGTCGGAATCAACTCGAGGGCAATGGGTTTGGTTTTGGTTTTTTATGCCTGTAGTTATAATCGCATTTGGGAATGGGTTGTCTCTGTTATGTTAATAAGGCAGGATTAGTGTAGGAAGTATCTTGAGTCAGTCTCTTCTGAGATATAAAAGAAATTAAACAAGCAAGCGAGAGAAGTTGAGTTGGGGAAAGAGAGATTCCAAGCACGTGAAGACTGCCCAGGAGCAGAAGCTCAGAAGAGACAAGGACTTTCCTCCAGGGCAACAGAGAGAGAAAGCCTTCCCCTGGAACCGGCACCCTGAATTCAGACTTCTAGCCTCTTAAACTGTGAGAAAATAAGTTTCTGTCTGTTAAAGCCATTCACTTGTGGTGTTTCTGTTACAGCAGTGCTAGATAACTAAGACAGGATCCATTTGAGTACTTAGCATGCTCTCCTTAGTGAAGAGACTGTCAAGAAGAAAATAAACCTGCAGTCCCATGCATTTGAATTTGGCAGTTTCTCATTTGCCCCAACTTTGCAGCTCCATTTTATAATCAAGCTGTGAGCACATCTTCAGACCCTAAGTCATTTCAAAATGATTTTATGGTAGGGTGATTAATCTGTAACTTATTTTCTGCAGAGACCAATTTAGTTTTCTCTCCCCCTTCTTTATCCCCTGTCAGCAATTCTGTCAATATCACTTTGTGACCCTCTGCCATAGTATTTAATACAGAAACCTTCCTATCGATTTCAGCCATCTTCACACACCAAGCTTCTCAATTTTTTTTTTTTTTTTATTGTTTGAGGATATTACCTTCTGTGGTGAATCTAATCTTATGCTCACTGCATCATTACCTTTTGCAATTAAATTGGAGATTCTTTGCCATTTATAATCATTAGCAGAACTCAGGGGAGGTCTGGAGTGGGAGGTTCCATGGGGTCTATGGATTGTGATGAAGGCAGAGGGGGTGATTTCCCTGTTACGATTTGTGCTCATTTATCTCTGGGTCTAGCGGCTTTCACTAGCCATGGAAATAAATAGCTTTTATCAAGGGGCAGACGGTGGCAGAGCAAAAAGAAGAAGGGTTGCAATTACTCCTGCATCTGGAATTTGCTGCCTCTCCTGCCTTCTTTTTATGCTTCAATCTAGGAGCCCTTTAAAGGTGGGCAGCCAGAGAGTGTTATCTGCTTGACTTTATAGGGCCTCAAAGCATTTACATGTAATAACACCTCTTTGAATACAAAGAATATGCTTCAGGGACACATTTTTTGCTGTAAATTTTCTAATCAGAGGTTAAGAAAGTACTACTATACCCATTACTATCGAGTCAATTCTGACTCATACTGACCCTATAGGACAAAGTAGAACTGCCCCATAGGGTTTCCAAGGAGCAGCTGGTGGATTTGAACTGCCGACCTTTTGGTTAGCAGCCGTAGCTCTTAAACACCATGCCACCAGGACTGCAAAATATTTAGTGGATGTGCTATTATGTTCCCATCAGCAATGTATGAGTAATGTAGTTTCTCCACATCCTTGCCAGCATTTGGTGTTGTCACTGTTTTATATTTTAGTCACTCTGATAGGTATGCCCTTAAGGGCAAATGCTGTAGAACATCTTTTCATGGGCTTATTTGCCATTCGTATACTTCTTTGGTGAAATAACTGTTCAGGTCTTTTGCCTATTTTCTAATTGGATTGTTTTTGCTTTTGTTGTTGAGTTTTGAGAGCTCTATATATTCCAAATACAATTCCTTTGTGTCGGATATGTGATTTGCTAGTATTTTCTTCCATTTTGTCACTTGTCTTGACTTTATCGTCTTCTCAAGGTCTCTTGCAGAGGAAAAGTATTTAATTTTGATGGAGTTCAATTTATCAACTTTTCTTTTTATAGATCCTGCATTGGGTTTCAGGTCTACAAATTCTATGACAAGTCCTGGATCCTGAAGATTTTTTTGCATGTTTTTTACTACAAGTTTTATAGTCTTAGTTTTACACCGAAATCTGTGATCCAATTTGAGTTAATATTTGTGTGACATACCTACTCGGTCTTCTTCAACACCACTTAGGAGGGTGGTTGGGACACCTCATTGCAGCCAAGTGAGGGTGGAAGTCTAGGCTCCCTCTCAGCCTTTGCTGGTGTGCGTGGGAGTGGGGACATGGTTTTTTCTGTGATGTTTGTTTGAAGTAGAGCAGTTATTGTCTAAAATTCTTTTGCCTTGCTAGGCTCTGTCTTTCCTGTAACTCTGACTAGAGAGAGCAGGCTTTTCTTGTTTTTTGTTTGTTTTTGTCTACACCTGTTGGTGTTTTTAGGTTGC